AAACCAAAAACATGCATGTTAGGCTGATTGGTAACTAAATTGTCCCTAGGGGTGAGTGAGAGAGTGAATGGTTGTTTGTCTCGTTTGTCTCTATGCGTCCCTGTGATGGACTTGCGACCCGTCCAGGGTGTACCCCGCCCCTCGCACAGTGATTGCTGGACATGGGCACCGGCGACCCCCCGTGACCCAAAATGGAACAAAGGGTAAAGATAATGGATGGATGGATGGATGGATGGATTATAACTGACAACTAATGAAAACCCCAAATTCAGTATCTCATAAAATTAGAATATTACTTAGACCAATAAAAAAAGGATTTTTAGAAATGTTGGCCTACTGAAAAGTATGAACATGAAAAGTATGAACATGAAAAGTATGAGCATGTACAGCATCAATACTTAGTTGTGGCTCCTTTTGCCTGGACTACTGCAGCAATGTGGCGTGGAGTCGCTCAGTCTGTGGAACTGTTCAGGTGTTATGAGAGCCCAGGTTGCTTTGATAGTGGCCTTCAGCTCTTCTGAATTGTTGGGTCTGGTGTATCACATCTTCCTCTTTACAAAGGTTAAGGTCAGAGAGTTTGCTGGCCAATTAAGAACAGGGATACCATGGTCTTTAAACCAGGTACTGGTAGCTTTGGCACTGTGTGCAGGTGCCAAGTCCGATTGGAAAATGAAATCTGCACATCCATAAAGTTGGTCAGCAGCATGAAGTGCTCTAAAACTTCCTGGTAGACGGCTGCGTTGACCTTGGACCACAGAAACACAGTGGACCAACACCAGCAGATGACATGGCACCCCAAAACCATCACTGACTGTGGAAACTTGACACTGGACCTCAAGTAATGTGGATTATGTGCCTCTCCTCTCTTCCTCCAGACTCTGGGACACTGATTTCCAAAGGAAGTGCAAAATTTACTTTCATCAGAGAACATAACTTTGGACCACTCGGCAGCAGTCCCAGGCGAGACACTTCTAACGCTGTCTCTTGTTCAAGAGTGGCTTGACACAAGGAATGCAACAGCTGAAAACCATGTCTTGCATACGTCTGTGCGTGGTGGTTCTTGAAGCACCGAGTCTAGCTGCAGTCCACTCTTTGTAATGGGTTTTGCTTAGTCTCCAGGGTGCAGTTATCCCTATTGCTTGTTCACCATTTTCGACCACATCATTTCCTTCCCTTCGCCTCTCTATCAATGTGTTTGAACACAGAGCTCTGTGAACAGCCAGCCTCTTTAGCAATGACCTTTTGTGTCTTGCTCTCCTTGTGCAAGGCGTCAGTGGTCGTCTTTTGGACAACTGTCAAGTCAGCAGTCTTTTCCATGATTGTGTAGCTACAGAACTAGACTGAGACCATTTAAAGGCCTTTGCAGGTGTTTTGAGTTAACTAGCTGATTAGAGTGTGGCACCAGGTTTCTTCAATATTGAACCTTTTCACAATATTCAAATTTTCTGAGATACTGAATTTGGGGTTTTCATTAGTTGTCAGTTATAATCATCAACATTAAAATAAACATTTGAAATATATCTGTCTGCGTGTAATAAATGAATATAATATACAAATTTCACTTTTTGAATGGAATTACTGAAATAAATCAACTTTTTCATGATATTTTAATTTTATGACCAGCACCTGCATATACTCTGTAGAGTACTATACTATAAATATACTAATGACTATTAGTTTTTGTTTTTCCCCCCACTGTTTTAGTATGAGGGTGTTTTTCAGTGTGATTATGAGCCTAAATGACGTTTTCTTTTAAAACCATATTTTCTGTGCAGACAGACGAATGGGAGGTGAAGAATAAAACTCCAGAGAACGTTATTCAAGTCCTTCGTGTGGGTCAGGCCCTGTTGAAGGTCTCAGTTTTTTTTTAAATTATTTCTACACTCTGATCTCTCCTTTGTGCATCTGTTAACTACCATGTGGGCATATTTAATTTTTAAGAAGTAAGAAAATTTAATATATTGTTCACTGCACTGATAATGATGTTTGTCCTAGAGATGTCTGGCATTTTCAGATCTTAAGTCTTGTTTCTTTCCCTGTTCTTTAGATTAAAGATCAGCAGGTTACTGTTGCTGAAAACTTTGTTGAAGACATCAGTCTACAGCATGCCAGAACTGGTTAGTGAACAAGTTACATTTAATAGACAACTTTTTTGTGATAGTAAAAACAAAGTTTTTATTCGTTGTTTTATAAATTTCTGTACTCTAGAAAAAGAACTTCTTCAAAAAGTGTCCAGGCTGGAACAAGAACACAAGGTAAGGCTTTTGAGGAGTTTCTCTGTTTATCTGTACATAGTTTAAAAAAAAAAAAAAAAAAGTTTATCTTCTTTTAATTTTATGGAAAGGATAAAAAAAAAAAAAAAAGCAGTTCTTTACTACCAGTAGGTCTTAATGTAAAAGCACCCTCAGATGAATGACTAATAATAATAATAATAATAATAATGTCATCACAATGTCAGCACTGTATGTTTCCATACAATGGCGAAATTAGTCTCTGCATTTAACCCATCCACCACCAGGTGGTGCAGTGGGCAGCTATTGAAAGCGCCCGGGGGACATTTTGGGGATGAGGCATGCTGCCCAGAGACGCCACGTGATGTGCAGTGACTGGGGATCGAACCTGGGACTTTCGGGTCCCAAGCAACATGACCAGTCACAATACTTGGTACGCCTGTGATAAACCAGTTTGGTCCGGTCCTTGCGTTGAGAAGGGGCGGACGAAGCTGCTCTGAGAACAAAATGACGCAATATTTGTCACACAACCACGACAATGAGATTCGATTTTACCGCTTTGGATGGAGTATGCAGGGCCCTAAACTCATCCCCCCTCCACCATGTGTTCCATGACAGCTTAGTGGTTAACATTGTTGTTTCACAGCACAGCAAGAAGGTCCTGGGGTCAATCCCCGGGTTGAGCCTGGGATCTTTCTGTGTGGAGTTTATTTTTCTTGTGTTTGCGTGGGTTTTCCCCAGGTACTCTGGTTTCCTCCCACAGTCCAAAAACATGCATGTTGGGTTGCTTCAGACCCAGGCCTCTCTTGCAAAAGAGATCAGTGATCTCTAAGATTTGCCTGGTTAAATCGAGGTTAACGAATAAACAGTTTGAATGACGTGTTTGTGCTATATGCTGTTTGTTTTTTATCAAGTGTATTGTTCTGCATTATGGCCACTAATTTCCAGTTTAGTCTTGTGTTTGAAGCCATTGTTCCAGACATCCTGTGGCTTTATTCACACTCAGCTTGACAAACCCAAGCTATGTTGCCATTTTTTTTTTTTTTTTTTTTTGGTCAAATATCTCAGGAAGTCTGTTAGTGCTTGGACTGCATGTCATGGATGACTTTGAGCTATTACCACTCTTAACTGTAGCTCATTATCTGTAAAATAGACTGAGTTATAGACATTTTGGTGTTTGGTAAGATCATTGTGGTGGCCTTCTTGATTCACATCAACACCAAACGTTAATCAGTAGATGTAGATGGACTTTCCATTGTTACAGTACAATACAATACAACTTTATTTATAAAGCACTTTAAAAGCAACACCATTGGCCAAAGTGCTGTACACTGATAACACATAAAAGCATAAAAGCTATCAAAATTAATTGAAACTGTAAAAGTATTGAACTGTTAAAATCATAAAAACAGCAAACAACGAAAATAAATACCTAAATTAAAAACATTAAAGCCAAAATTTTAAGCCGAGTTAAAGCCAAAGAGGAAATAAAAGTGTTTTCACAGAAGATTTTAAAACGGGAAGTGAGTCGGTCTGTCTGATGTGCAAAGACGGTTCATTCCACAGTTGAGGGGCAGCGACTCAAAGAGCTCGGTCACCACGCAAACGCTTGTTACTTCAAAGTGTTTCATCAAAACCTGATGGAACATTTTGGATTCATGCAACAAGTGTCTAACAGACTGACAGTATTTTGCGATCAGAAATAGTCCACCTTTCATGGCAGAGGGAGATAAAAATGTGCAGGAACCCAATTTTTACCATAATTTCATCTGTCTATATATTGTATTGTACTACATGTGTGCAAAGTTACAGTGTGTTATTTCTTATTTGCTGTTTTCAGAACAAATTATGTTTTCTTTATTACAGAAGAAATGTGATCTCTTAGAAACGTCAACAACTCTCATGTGTGTGTGACCTGAAACCACTTTTGTTACGTCTATTTACTTCAGCTACCAGTGCTGACTCTGATCAGCCAATCAGTGAGCGTTACTCTTCCTACGACAGGATTGGCTGTACTGACCAAGGAAAGATATTACTTAAGAAGATTACAGCTAATTCCCTGCATGCTCACTGCATTTACTTCTGCTTTAAATAGAATATTGTTTAGATTTTACTTTGCAGGTTATAAAATTTGCTGCTGCAGTGGTTGCTGTGCAGAGAAACAATTTCTCGTTTGAGAACTTACCGTAATTATGGCAGCTAGTACCCATGTTGGTTCTGTAAACAGATGGAGGTGATGAGAGATTAAGATGCTTCCTGGTGGGGGCTGTTTTGACTTCTTTTGTTTTGTTTCAGGTCCACAAGGCTCAGCAGTTCGGCACCGGGCCAGACAGCCGCTTCTTTAGGGATGAAATTCGTCATCTCGAGGCCCAGCTGGAGCAAAGGGAGAAGGAGTTGATCCAGCAAAGGAAAGAAATGGGCAAGGAAAAGAAAACCAATGAAGAGGTAAGCGTAACGCCTACAGTACTCCCACTTTTTAAAGAACGTGGGTGTTATGGGTGTTAATCCACACACTTTTTGATTTATTTGGGTGTTTTAAAGCATGTTTGTTAATTGGAAAACATTCCAGTGAGTTACTGTGAACTATATAATCAATGGCAGAAATAATGATTTGATCCCCTGCTGAATTTGCCAGTTGGCTCACTTATAAAGAAATTAACAGTCTTTCATTGTTAAAATTATAGTTTTGTTTTATTGGAGAGAGACAAAATTCATTCATCTATCTATCCATCCATCCATGCATACATACATACATACATACATGCATACATACATACATACATACATACAT